GGATAATAATAATACATGCCTCACAGGATAACATAAGTAAACACTTCGAATACCTTAAAGTACTTTATACATGCTAGCTTTTGTCATTATTGTTATTAATATTGATATTGTTGTTATCATTGTTATTATTACCATCCGCAGTTCTTGTGACAATAGTGGAGAAGGCACTCTTAATACATGTGGATTTAAGCAAGGAACTGGGTATGATGGAAAGCACTGGAAGTCAGGAGAACTATGTTCTCATTTTAGCTCTGGCAGACATCAGTTGTGTGATGTTGGGCAAATCATTTTGACCCTAAGTCTCACTTTCTTCACCTATAAAATAAAAGGGTTAGGCTAGGTGATTTTCAAGGTCCCTTCCAGGTCTAACATTCTGTGATCTAATGTTATTGACAAAGGTAAAAATATGATCATCTACAGATATTATATTATAATTAAATGGTCATAATTTTTCTATTGCTGTTCTCATTTTTGCAAGTTAGAACTAATTTCAGTGACTTAAACTATGCTTAAAATAATTTTGCCAGTTCTTAAGATATATTTGTAATCAGACAAACATGCCATTGTAACTAAGGATTTCTAAGTATCTAGTTAAATTGAAGTTGGAAGTATTTTACAATGAAATTAATTCAATTCACCTGTTTAGAAACTTGTCCCCTCCTGAGAGATAAACATGGCCACTCAACCTAAATCAACACCATTTGATGTTATGTAAAGGAGCAGATTTTTCAAATAATAAATTTGTGCCAAAAATGCTCAAAATATTCCAAAATAATTTTATAAGCAAATACTGTAAGTATTATTGTTGTTCAATCATGCAGTCATGTCTGACTCTTTGTGACTCCATGGACCAGACTGTTCATGGGATTTTCTTGGCAAAGATACTTAAGTAGTTATTAAGGCAAAAAGAAGTTAAATTACTTGCCCAGGGTCACACAGCTAATATCTGAGACTGGATTTGAACTCAGGTCTTCTTGACTCCAGACCCAGCATTGTATCCACTGAGCCACCTAGCTGCCTACTATTATAAGTTTACTCCTACTTAAATAGATATACTATGTCATAACAGTTTGTATTACTTTAAAATCTATAATGTAATACTATATCTCATAGTGTACATGAAATAGATAAAAACAAATAATATAATTATTTTAAAAGACAGAAAATGAAACATTTTTAATAACTCTTTATCAGAATCATCTCTAGTCGGGGATGGGTAGTCTAGAGGGAAAATGTCCTCTGGAATCAAAGTACAAAGACCAGGATTACAACTATTGGGCCTGTGACCCATGTGACTAAGCAATTCTCACTTCAGCTCTGGATCACAGTTCCTTCATCTATAAAATGAGGACACTGAACTAAACGATCACTAGGATCATTTCTAGGTTCAAATCCTCTGGTCTCTAAAGTATATATGGACATGTATTCCTCTCTTGAGGTCCCACCCTTTCTATTCCATTATGTTTTTAGAAAATGAAATCACATGAATTGAAAGAGGTAAAGGATCACAAACCATGGAGTTTAAAAGGATTAAATGGAATAGAAGAGAGGAAGCCTCGTTCACTTTGACTTGGTGGCTAGCAGTAATTTAGCTTATGGCTTACTCTATCTGTAAATGTCAGTCTTTGTGTTTTTAAATTTTTGATTTTTTTGAAGGACTAACTGGCGGTCTTCTTGAGTCACAATGCTTAGTAGTCTAGCTATGGCATTCCATGAATGAATGAGAGTGCAGGACCCAGAGTGACTGCCAAGAATGATCACTCCCTCCCCTCCCCATAATTCTATCTCTACTGGTGAACATCAATCAGCAGGAGGGAGCCTTCAGTCAATGAAATAGCAAACATGGCTAAAGAAAAAAAAGGAAATTCAATCAAATCAGATTAGCTATTTTATAGGAACAGAAATCAACCACTCTAAACAAAAATCAAGCTGGTCTTAGCCAATTGACTAATTGGATAAGATATGGAATTAAAGGATTGGTTAAATATGACCTACACTCATCAGAAATCAGTTTAATTTTCAGTTTCCATCCAAATTTTTATGACCATATTAACACAATGAAATATCAAAATCAACTGCAGTATGGCATGTAAATGAATGCTCCATCTCATTAATTCCTGTGAGAGACATTCTTAATGGTTTCTTTATAGTCTGAGAATATTACTTATTGCCCACCAAAAAGGAATAATAAATAGGATAAAACTTCGTATCACTAGATTTACAAAGTACTTGGTAAAGTATATTTTGACTCTTTTGATACATTGAAGAAGTTCCCTAAAAGTATTTCTTTTTTTCTACACATCCTATTACTTTTAGTTCTGGTTCTCTAAGAGGACCATGACATCAGGGAGGTGATACCATGACATGTTAGTGAATTGGATTTAAATGAGGGAAGCTTGTGCAAAGTCATCAGCCTCATTTTCTCCTCTGGAGCCATCTGGGTCCAGTGGCCAGATATGGATCAGGACGACTCAGATGGCCCAGGATGCAGTGAGGCCTTGGCCTTTTCAAGCTAAGGTCTTTAACAGGTCTCAGTTTGACTGAGGTAGTACTCATTCAATGATTAAGGCTTAATAAAAAATCAGGCAAAGAGTGGCCTATTTAAAAAAAAATATCTGGGAGGAAGACCCTCGAGGTTTCTGGCCAAAACAGAAACGATTGTTATTTACATTTATTCTGCTGAGCTAAAAAGGGCCCAAACAGTGACCAAGTAGGGCTTGGTCTGGGATCAGAGTGATTTGGGGTTAAGGCTGGTCTTTAAGAGAACATTAAGAAACATCCTGTTAATGCATAAAGGAAAGAGTTTGGTTTTAAACTTTGGACCATAATGAACAACATCAAAAAGAACGTCCTTGATATTTCAGTAAATTTTGATTATTAATTTATCTTTTCCAAAGCTTTTCCTATTGTCTAGTTCAAGCACAATAAATACCTCCACACTAAAAGTTTTCATTCTGGATTTACCAAAGAGGAAAATTAGGCTAAGAAAAATGTAGATTCTTGATCTTGGGAAACGTAATTTTCTCCTTCTGGTCTTCAGTGTTCTTCTGGGGAAAGAGGGACAAAAAAAGATGTTCATTACAGCTCTTTCCAACTCTAAGGCTGATAGGACAATAATCCTATTACCTTACTGCTTCCTTTCCCTTCCCTTTGTTTCTTTTGTTAGGTGGAAAATGAACTGACGTAGGAATCTAGTGACCTGGGTTCCAAACCTAAATCCAGTGTGACCCTGGACAAATGATTTCAATTTTTTGTTCCTCTGTTTTCTCATTTGTAAAATGGGGGTGATGATATCTCTCTTTCACTTGAAAATCAAATAAGACAATGAGAATGCAGAACCTGCAGACATTTTAAGGATTATGACGTTATGAAATACTGATTGCAAGGTTATAGAAATTTAAATATTTATCCAAAATAAGAAACAGATGGAGTTAGTTTTAATGTAATAAATATTGATATATGCATATCCATGTATATATCGTTATGTAAACATGTTAACTCAAATTCAAAACAGCATTTTTTACTTTATTATTCAACTTTAACATTATATTACTGATAATTTCAAATATTTTACAATTTAGAAAACAGCAACAGGGATGAAACCAAGTATAAGTATTTTCAAAATACTAATTTTCCATAAATAAAGAAACATTCAAACCCATTTTGTTTTTGCAAAACAGCTTCCATTCATTTTTATAAGCATTGCATTGTACCAAGAAAAAAACTGCTTGATTGGGTCTATTACTCATCTAACAAATTATTGACTCTCAGAATTAAGAAATTGAATTCAGTCTCCAGTGCATCTGTCATCTATCCATGTAATGTCACTGCCTTCTTAGATGTACTAAGGTAAAAAACTATACCTCTTTCATGAAATCATTTCATGGTAATGTCATGTCAGATATTTGATCAAAATGTTGAGACTTGAGGAGAAGGGGAAAAACTGCATTTCATCTCAAGTAAAGATAGGTTTTTTTTTCTCCAAAAAGATTGTGGGTAGAGGAAACATTGCTGTGTTGTGCAGAATTCTCCTTATCCCATTGAAAGAGAATCTGACCTCCGCTAGGAGCTCCTTTTCTATGCAGAAACAAGTGCTGCCAGAATCAGTTCCAGGAGCTTTTTTTTCCAAGGGAGGTCAAGTTGCTGAACTTGATGTAGGTAAGAATCCACTTCTGAGTGGCCCAGTGGCATTCAGAAAGTGAGACCCAGCATAGGCCAATCCTGTCACAGCCTGCAGAAACATTTGGAGAGTTTGGTTCCTTTCTGTTTCATTTGTTTACTTTTGATTCCATTTATGGAAAAATATGAAAACACCTTCAAATAGGAGACATGCTACTCTTTAATATAAGCAATTTTTTTTAAACCAAAGAAGTAAATTGTAAATGGAATCAGCCTTTGAAAATGGTGCTCGTCAGGGGCAGCTAGGTGGCGCAGTGGATAGAGCACTGGCCCTGAAGTCAGGAGTACCTGAGTTCAAATCCGGCCTCTGACCAAACACTTGACATTTCCTAGCTGTGTGACCCTGGGCAAGTCACTTAACCCCAATTGCCTAAAAAAAAAATTGGTGCTTGTCCCCATTAGTACCTAGAGGCCCTATTTGTTCACATCATTGTTGAGGATCCTATTATATTATGAAGCAGCACACATTTATCTAGTATGTCATTTTCTCAGTTTTCTAGCTTAGAGGCCCCCTATAGTCTAAAGATATGATCCTACATGCTTTGAATCCCATTGCAGTAGCATGCAAAGGCTTTGCTATTTAGCTTGACAAGTCTGTTATGTTTTTCTGCATGCTATGGATTTGAAATCATCCTTTCATATATAAGGACCCTCATGGTTTGTTTTATGATTTCCTTATCTGGGTGGTGTTTCCATATTTGTTTTCCAAAAATAAATGTGTGAGTCATATTACATGTATTTTATTTTATAATAATCACAGTACTTGCAAAAAAAATGTTAACCTGAAGCCCCAATTAATATTATTTCTGGTCTCTTTGCAGCTAGATCCTGAAGCTAGTAGTGTTCTCAAAGAACTTCAGGTAAAACTCAGTGGGGTCCTGGATGAACTCAGCGTAATCTACGGTGAAAGGTAATGAACATGACTGATAAGAACCTAAAGCAATGATTTTCATAGTAATAGGTTTTAAGCTAGAAGGGAAGGGACTCTAGAAGTCATCTGGTACAACACCTTCATTTTACAGGTGAGGAAACTGATTCCCAGAGAGGTAAAGGTCTTACCCCATGATATCAGAAGAAATAAGCAACAGAGACAGAATTTTAACCCTTGCCCTCTGATGCCAAATCTATCATCTCTCATGATAAATAATGATGCTTCCACAGATATGCTGTATGTGCATTTGACTCCAGTTGGTAATTAAGAAGCAGAAAGCAAAATTACTAGAAACTAGCATTTGAGTGTACAAGAGGCAAAGATTTCACATTCAGTGGGGATTTATTAAGCACTTACTGTGTGTAAGACCTTCACAAAATCTAACTGTCATACAAGCTGTTGTGCTAGATGCCGGGGATACAAAATGGAAAAAAAAAGGATAGTCACAGTCCTCAGTGGGCTTACATTCTACTTGGGAAGGGGACAGAATGACATGTACATATTTAAATAAAACACAATGCAAGAAGTTATGGGAGGAAAGGAAGGAATATATCACCAAGGCTTAATATACCAGGTTTAGAAAACAGCTAATACCAAAAGGTAGACTATATGAAGGGGAATAATATCAAATAAAACTGGAAAGATAGGTTGCATGCGGATTTTCTGTGGCCATAAATGCCAGGCTAAGAAGTTTGCATTTGAGCAAGTATTCTTAACCAGACATCCATGGACCACAGATACATTTCAAGGGTCTATATTATGCCTATTATATGCCAGGCACTATCTTAGGTATTGAGAATACAATGATTCCCTTTGGAGAGTTTACATCCTACTGGGACAGGAGAAGACAATGTATACTCACATAAATATATAGAAAATATCTACTGAAAATGAGGTATTATGGTACAGGAGATAATGAGCTGCCTATGTAAGCAGGTAAAGCTAGATTCATATCCTGCCTTTGACATGTACTAGCTTTGTGACCCAAGATAAGTCACTTAAACGTTTAATGCTCCAGGCAAGGTTCAGACTAACATTTACTGAGATGCTGGCCTGCATTGGTAGAGGGAATCTCCTCTCCCAGGAGTTCCCTGTACTAATGAAATCACAAGTCCAGTCCCTGTCCTTATTCCTATTTTTTAAAAATCAAGGTTAATAGGGAGCAGAGTTCATACCTCCCCCTGCTTACCGTACCCCCTCCCATTTTAAAGATGAGGAAAAAGAAAGTCTAAAGAATGTGCTGTAATTTGCCAAGAGTCATACAGATAGCAAGGAACAAAGCTGGAGAATTGAACCAATTAACTGATTTCAAAACCCAAGCTCATTACACTTGCCTCCCCTCCAAAGAAACAGGAAATTTTGGATGATAGTACAGGTCAAATTAGAGAGTGGATAAAATTCGGTTTTGAGCACATTGAGATAAGGTGGTCATGGAACACCAAGGTGTAGACAGATATCCAACAGGTGGTGAAGCAAGAAAAGGAGAGAATTAGGGCTGCATATATAGATTTTGGAATTACATGAACAAGGATGATAATTCCCATGGGAGCAGATACAAATGCTAACGAATAGTGTGGGGAGAGAAGAGGACCCAGGACATTATGTATTTGTCATATATGCATATATTATGCAAATTTAACTCTAAGTTAGACTTCACCCAGAACTTCCTATTCTTGTGATTTGATTTGAGGGCAGGTATAATTCTCCAAGAGAAACTTGTCTTTTAGGAATTTAGCAAAGGTAGCCTTCTCTGACCAGGGGACTCTACGACAAAGATAAGTTGGAAACTGCCTATTTGGAAAAACTAATTGACTTATTAGAAAGCTTGTTTCATATATATCCACATAATGAACTTTAAATAATGCTTGCATCTGAACTAAGTATATAGTTTCCTATCAAACTTTTAAGTTCCTGGATGTCAAAAGCAGCTTAAACTGATCTCCACACACAGTGCCTTCAATAAGACAGATTCACAATAATCACTTATTTGATTTGATGTGACTACCTGTGTGTGTAAGATACGTTAACAATTTTTTGAAGCCTTTTGGTTGCTAGACAGAGGTATCAGGCAAAGTAGAGGAAATGGAATACTTAACAGTCTTTCTCAGACTCTGTCTTTTCTCCATGTCTTTACTCTCCACATGCTGTTTACCCATTAACCTTCAGCCTGGAGGCAGCATAGTGTGTTAAAGGATCAGCCTTGAGGTCAGGAAGACCTGACTTGAAGCTCTGCCTTTGACTCATGCTTCTTATGGAACTATGGGCAAATCACTACCTTATAGCATCTTTAAGACTACAATTTAGGGATGAGGTGCAGATCTAGAATTTGTGGACATTTCTATGTTTTGAGTTCACTATACTAATGAAATCACAAGTCTGCAGACAACCTTCTCTCATTAGTCCCTGAAAAAACAATAACCAAAAAAAAAAAACCCCAATAACCAAAAGCCACAACAATATGTTACTTATTTTTAAATGAGGGGAAGTTAGGATTCAGGAAAAGCTTGAGAGATTATTGTGGTTATAGGAAATGAAGTGATCAGCCTGTTTCTGGACTCATTACTCAGATACTCAATTGGATCTCTAATCTTATTAATTTGGGTGAGACAACAATGTGACCCATGCTTGCCTATTCTATGTGAATCTTTTCCATGGCTTCCAACAAGTTTGCTACTCAGGGTATGGTAACACACTTGGGGCCATTCTCACCTTCTGATGGGAAGAACTCAGAGGTTGTCTTCATAGGTCAGCCTATCTTCTTTTTCAATCACATATTTCTATAATAAGAGCCTTTTCTCCAGTTCCACTTTAAAGTTCCATATTTGTTATATGTTTCTGCTCACTCCCAATATGTACCTTTCAATTAATCTCTGTGATCATCATATAACACTATTAGAATATTTCTATTTAAAAGATGGACCTTGGGCAGAGCCAAGATGGTAGAGTAAAGGCAGGGGCTCACCTGAGCTTTTCTCCAAACCCCTCCAAATACTTTTAAATGATAACTCTAAACAAATTCTAGAGAGGTAGAACCCATAAAAAGACAGAGTGAAACAATTTTCCAGCCCAAGACAACTTGGAATTTCAGCTGGAAACATCTACTGCACCAGAGTAAGAGAAGAGCACAATCCAGCACAGACTAGGTCCCAGCAAACCAGGATCAGGCCTTGGAGACTGAATCAGTAGCAGGTGGTTTCCAGACCTCTCAGCCCACAGATGGTAAGGGGATCAGACAGTGAGTCAGAAGGAGATTTACAGGGTCCCTTTGCCAGCATCAGGACCTGACTCTGTTGCATTGCCAATACTTAGATCTGGGTAACAGTCCTGGGTCTTAGTCCCAGTGCAAGGAAGAGCACTAGCACAGCACAGCTTTCAGCTGCAGGAGAGCAGGGACCCTAGTCACATTCCCAAAAAGAGTACATGGGGTCACTTATACATCAGTGCACAGTACAGGACAGTAGTAAACACAACTGTACCTAGATCATACTACCTTGGAAGAGCCAAAAACTTACAATTCCCCAGAATTACCTCTGAAAACAGCTGTACAAAAAAGCTGAAGATTGAGGCTGTGCCTCTTCCACTTCGGAAGCAGAGCCTCAATCTAGCAAAGAGTTAAAAGTCAAGAAATTGGGTGGAAACTGAGCAAACAACAAGGGCAGCTAGATGGCACAGTGGATAGAGGGCTGGCCCTGAAGTCAGGAGGACCAGAGCTCAAATCTGGCCTGACACCAAACACTTGACACTTACTAGCTATGTGACCCTGGGCAAGTCACTTAACCCACTTACCTAAAAAAAAAAGAAGAAAAAAGAAAAGAAAAAGAAAGAAAGAAAGCAAACAACAGAAAAAAATTCTGATTGCAGAAAGTTCCTGTGGTGACAAGGAAGATCAAAACATACACTCAGAAGAAGATAAAATCAAATCTCCCATATCCAAAGCCTCCAAGAAACATATGAATTGGTCTCAGGCCATGGAAGAACTCAAAAAGAATTTTGAAAATCAAGTAAAAGAGATAGGGGAAGAGAAATGAGAATGATGCAAGAAAATCATGAAAAAACAGTCAACAGCTTGGTAAAGGAGGTACAAAAAATATTGAAGAAAACAAGACCTTAAAAAACAGACTAGGCCAAATGATAAAAGAGGCACAAAATTCCAATAAAGAGAAAAATGCCTTGAAAAGCAGAATTGACCAAATGGAAAAAGGTATACAAAAAATTCACTGAAGAGAAGACCTCCTTAAAAAGTAGAACTAGCCAAATAGAAAAGAATGTATGAAAGCTCACTGAAGAAAATAATTCCTTAAAAGTTAGAATTGAACAAGTGGAAGATGACTTTATGAGACATCAAGGAACAAACAAAATGAAAGAATGAAAAAATAGATGAAAATATGAAATCTCATTAAAAACAAAACAACTGACCTGAAAATACATCCAGGAAAGATAATTTATGACCTTAAAGTCAAGATCAAAAAAAGAGCCTAGACATCACCTTTCAAGAAATTACCAAGAAAAACTGCCCTGATATTTTAGAATCAGAGGATAAAATAGAAATTGAAAGAATCCAACCACCTCCTGAAAGAGATCCCAAAAGGAAAACTCCCAGGAATATTATAACCAAATTTCAGACCTCCCAGTCTTCTTCAAGAAGAAAATACTGCAAGACACCAAAAAGAAACAATTCAAATATCATGGAGTCACAGTTAAGGTAACACAAGATTTAGCAGCTTCTACATTAAAGGACTGGAGGGCTTAGAACACAATACTCTGGAGTGCAAAAGGGTTAGGATTATAACCAAGAATCATCTGCCCAGAAAAATAGAGTATAATCTTTCAAGGAAAAAAAGTGGCTGTTCAATGAAATAGAGGACTTTCAAGTATTCCTGATGAAAAGACCAGAGCAGAGTAGAAAATATGATTTTCCAACACAAGATTCAAAAGAAGCATAAAAACGTAAACAGTAAAGAGAAATCGTAAGGGACTTG